TGTCCACGTGGTGAATGATGTTGATTGGGGCGAAGCTCTGGTGCTGCTTGTCTGCGTAGACGCTGAGCTGCAGCATGCCGAGCCTTTCGTTCGTTTTCATCTATGTCAGAAAGAGAATGTGTGGTGTGGAACGTGGTTATATGCGCATTTAAGCATTTGACCGCAGCGCCCTCTCGTCTATAAACGTTGAGCCAATGCATGCAAATTTTAACTCGATTATATACGCATTTGACCGCAGCGCCCTCTCCTGTATAGACGTTGAGCGGCTACATGCAACGTTTCATCCATGACATCCCCAGCTCTTGAGTTACTACCACATCTCAGAGTCCCCTACTCGACCCGCAGTCGTGGCCGAGTGGTTAAGGCGATGGACTAGAAATTCATTGGGTCTCCCCGCGCAGGTTCGAATTCTGCCGACTGCGCAAATATTTCTTTTTTTTTATTTTTTTGTTGCCCTACAGGAGCACGTGAGCTCACGAGCCGAGCACGTGCACGAGCACGAGCACGAGTACCAGCAAGATCGATGTGAGCACGGATGCCGGACGGACAAGGCTAGACCCTAAGGAGCTTCGCCCCTAAAGCATGGGGTTCCGGTATTACTCTCAGCTCCACAAAAACTGGGCACATTGTGTGAAAAAGTGGGACGAGGGGAGACACGCGTCGGTGTCTGTCAGAAGAAACATAAGACCAGGTATGTGGAGTGTAGCGAGGGCGTGGTTTACAAGATTCATTTATCATGTGGCAAAGTATACATAGGCCATTCGGGACGTTGTATAAATGATATGGGGTCAGGGAGCATGCACTGTCAGTTCGATCGTCACCCTCGGGAAATCTGTCTGTGAACTGTGATAGATGTGGGTGTGTCCCGAAGTTTGACATCACCATTATCTTGGCCCGAAACCGAAACAAAATGACAAGGGAGATATCCGAAGCTTTTTTCATAACCGAGTGCGTTGAAGGAACGTGTGTCAGCGCTCCATCGATAGCCCTGTTTGGCTCTGAGGTGGCGTTTTTAAAATCTTTCGTAAGGTAGATAGCGGACAGCTTAACGCTAATTGGGTGATGTCGCATTTCTGTAGTTTATGTCGGGATTTCACGGTGAATATGTATCTGTTTTCCGTGAATAAACTTCAGTTGCAAGTAGCGCTCTGTGTTGTTCGTTTCTTTTACTTGTCAGTTTTTTTAGCGCTTTTACCCTCAAAAACATGGATCATCAACTAGCCCAAGTGCATACCCTTTTAGTACCTCACAAACACACACACTGAAAGCCATCCAGCTGAACACATTCATCCCCCTTGCCCGGATTTTTCTATATTGTTTCAGATCAGATCCCTCCTGCCCCCATTACCCCTGTCCCTAGGCGGACGTTAAGCACCCCACTTGCCCCACCACAGGCATCCAATCTCCCTACTACCCCAACACACTCCTCCACACTGGCGGGTGTGGCTGGCCTCGGCGTCTCACGTCAATCAGCTGGTTCTGATCCGCTTAGCGGAGGAGCACCCTTTAAGGTCTTTATTTTACCCAAATAATAATTTCTTTCTTTCTTCCAGGAAGAGCACCACAAACGAGCACTTCTAGCGAAGCGAACGAGCCTTTCCTGACGCGGCGTCTGGAATAGACCCTTTCAAAATTCAGTCTGCCCACTTTGATAACTATCATCATATAAGTGCATATCATCTGTACATGCTTATGACGGCCTTTGATGACTGGTGAAACAAAAAAGTAGCCTGAACATTCCAGACGTTCCCTACCTAAAAAGTGATTTTAAACTGGATTATGGAACAGGAAAATCTAACTGGATTTCTTGCTGGAAACTTGAAATCCAGTTTTCAGACAATGGTCTGCATACCTCGGCAAACCTCACTCATGAGGGCCCTCGCTCACCCTCACTCACCCTTATCTTCACAGGTGAGGTGAGGGTGAGTGAGTTTCTGAACCAGGAAAATTCATGAGAGTGCGAGTGAGTGAGGGCTGTGAGGGCTGTGAGGACCGTGAGTGCGAGAGGGCCATGAGGGCGGTGAGTGCGTGAGGGGTGTGAGGGCCATGAGTGCGTTAGGGGCGTGAGGGCGGTGAGTGGCGTGAGGGCCATGAGTGCGTGAGGGGTATGAGGGCCGTGAGGGGTGTGAGGGCCATGAGTGCGTGAGGGCGATGAGTGTGTGAGTGGCATGAGTGCGTGAGGGCCGTGAGGGATTTGAGGGCCATGAGTGCGTGAGGGGCGTGAGGGGTGTGAGGGCTGTGAGAGCAGTGAGGGGTGTGAGGGCCATGAGTGCGTGAGGGCGGTGAGTGCGTGAGACCTCCTTCAGACGGAGCAACTTTCTCAGCAATTTCGGTGTTGCTGGCGGGTTGTTCCCTAGCTTTCCCTATAGATCGACACGAATTGCTGAAATCGAGTCCGGCTTAAGACAAGCGAGCAACTCGGAGCAATTCGGAGACGTTTGAAGCGGCTGCATACAATAAGGGCCGCAATATTTTCACGTGATACCTCGTGCCGGTGATGATGGCAACAAAAGACTTAATTCTGGTTTGAAATTGATCGTTTTTTGGAAAAGAACCGTCTCAGAAATATGCATTAGTATTCTGAACGAGATTTAAATGGACAAAAACAGGTTTATAGTGTGTAATTGTGTGTCTAAATAGTGCAAGAACAATAAAATTCCATCATGATGATAGCAAATTGCAGCAATTGGTTGCTGCGTGTGAACGTGGGCGGCCCGTGTTGCTGGCGTTGCGACGTCAAGTTTCTGGGCGAGATTGCCCCATCTGAAGTGGACCTGAGTGGCGTGAGGGCCATGAGTGCGTGAGGGGCGTGAGGGGTATGAGTGCGTGAGGGCAGTGAGGGGCGTGAGGGCCATGAGTGCGTGAGGGCCGTGAGGTTCAGTGAGGGTAAGTGAAGGGTTGAAGGTGAGTGTGACTGTGAGGATGATGGTGAGTGAAGGGCTGAAGGTGAGTGTGACTGTGAGGATGATGGTGAGTGAGGGGCTGAAGGTGAGTGTAGTCTTGAGGGTGTGGGTAAGTGAGGGGCTTAGGTGAGTGTGGCTGTAAGGGTGAGGGTGAGTGAGGGCGACATAAAATGCCGACCTTTGCTGCAAACTGGATGTCAAGTTTCCAGCAATACATCCAGTTAGATTTTCCTGTTCCATAATACAGATTAAACTGTTTTCTTTTTTCTGTAGGATTAGTTCGCTGTATTGTTGTTTGATGTCACAGTGACAAGTCATAATTTTATATGCGCTGCGGTTTTGAGAATGTCATGTAAACCCTTACGCTCAGCTTCGGCAAGCCCCAGACAACTCATGTAAATGAGCTGTCTGGGGCTTGTAAACTATTCGCAGAATGTAAATTTTGTTAATAGTTTTACTCAACTAAGCGCCTCGAACAGAGCGGCAGTTCTGACACCATCGAAACCGAAACAATTCAAGAAATAACTGTACAGCGAAGAACACCGTAACTTTCGCACGTCTGCCGTTGACTAATAGGTACTAGATTTTAACCACCGTGAGCATTCTTGGGTTTATTCATTCATCAATTGTTATGATGTCATGGGGCTTTCTGATTTTAGAAGAAGAGGACATCCAGTGAGCACGCTCGCAGGAGGTGGCAAGCGTTGTTGCGTCTGGAACTGAAGAGCATTCACCATAGCTGCCGCTTTGATCCCGTATGTATTTATTAAACAGTTTTTTTAATCCATCCTCCTCAGCTTAACTAGCAACATAACATGGTGTCAGAAGTGGGATGAGCAGCTCAACGTCCATATTTTTCATTTAACAAGCAACAGCAGCAACAATATGGCATCTGCTTTCCTACAACCGCCGGCTCCGTTCCATCTCGGTGACGACCCAGCAAGAGCATGGGAGGAGTGGAAATCATCGTACCTTATCTTCGAGGCAGCCTGTGAATATGCATCGAAGCCTATCGCAACTCGGAAAGCTTTTCTGCTCCACTGCCTTGGACCTCAGGCAAGACGAATTACGCAAAACTTTTCTCTGCAACCAACAGGAGATGGTCAAAGCGGGCAAAGAGAGAATGCAGTAGATTACATACTGCACGAATTTGATAAGCTGTATGCACCTTACAAAAACGTGACACAAGCAACAGCCATTTTTAACACAATGTGCCAAAAGCCAGAACAAACCATTGACGAATTTGTAACTGAGCTAAAACTGCAGGGACAAAATTGCGATCATCATTGGGATACGAGACGTGGCTTTGCGCGAACGGTTGCTTCGTGAACCGAGTCTAACCTTAGACAAAATCATTTCAACCTGTAAAGCAGCTGAAATCTCAAGAAAACATGTGAATGATGTTCAGAAAACTGAAGACAAAGTTAGAGTTGATGGACTCTATCGTCAGCCATCTACCTTCAGAGCAGCGCAACGAAGGTATCAACCATCCGAGCCACAAAGAGACCAATCCAGCAACCGACAGCAAAGTTCATGTTCGAGATGTGGTACTTCCCATCAACCCCGAAACTGCCCAGCTTACGGAAAGCACTGCATTTCCTGTGGAATTTTTGGACATTTTCCCCGAATGTGCAACCAGACACAGCAGAAAACCTACGGATATCGACGTGTTTCTGCAGTAGAAGAAACTTCCAACTCATTTATGAACAATGACCCCAATGAAACGATCCATTTGGGAGGCATAACAATTGGGCCTCTTCCATCAACCAAAGCACCCAAGCTTGCGCAAACTGCGACAGAGCTAGAGAGGCGGTCAAAGAAAAAAAGGGGCATGCTGGCATCTCGCCCCGAAAAGAGACAATGCCTGATTTCAGAGTTGATGTTGGCAAAGGCAGAAATGCAGCGAATGTCTTTGGAGCACGAGAGAAATATCGAAGCGAGCTTTGGCCGTGAGCAGGCCCTTCAAAGCGAGTGCAAGGCAGCTTCGGCTCTCCTGGGGAAGATGCAAGCACGGCAAGCAGAATTTTCTCATGCCAAGCATCAGGAGTTCGAAGCATTAAAGCCCAGTTAGTTTCTCTAAGTGGGGATTTGTCAAAGCATCTGGAGCTTGTAGATGTCAAGGTGGAGGAAGCGAACACCCTGAAGGAGAAGTTTGAAGCATCTCAGCTTGAGCTCGAAAGGTTTTCTGCCGAGTACTGCATCTTGCAGGATGTCCTTCTTCAAGACTGTGGCGAGGACTTGCCGCTAGTTCAGAATGATTTCGAACAACGAGAGTTCAGTGCCTTTCAGTACCTCAAGAAGCTGCTGGACATCGCAAAACGCAAGAGAGAGGCCCTGGAAAACCAGCTTGCTAAAAAAGAGGAGCAGTTCAATCTACTTCAGCAAAACTATCAGTACTTAAAGGACCGGTACCAGTGGCCGTTACAAGATCTCGGGGCATTTGTCCGGAGCATCATCGTAGCTTTTGTCCGGAGCATCATCGAGCACACCAACCAGTCGTCAGAAGCTGCAGTGTCTCTTGAAGCAAGTCAGCTGGAAGACTTGAACCCTATGCTGGCAGTGCTTCAGCAACGGGTCACATCCTTGACAGTTAGGAACGAGCTCCTCGCTCAAGAAAGTCAGCAGTGGAAATCATCTTGTGAAGATGCGAGTGAAAAAATTAGATGTGTGTCTAATGAAAGTCACCTCTGGCAGCAGAGACACGAAAAGGTGGCGGAGACTTTGAGAGAGAGAGAGAATGCTGTTAAGTGTCACAATTCGTCGCAAACGGAAGCAGACGGAAGCTCCTTTACCGAGAAGGCAGAAACAGAGTGCGAGAGGTTAGACGAGAAAGTCAGCAGCCTCCTAAAACGCAACGGAAAGCTAGAAAGCGAAGCCGACATTTTGTGGTCAGAACTTTCCTGCCTGGAGGAGCAAGCTGAGATGCTCGTCAGCGAAAACAAACATTTTCAACAGCTAACTGAGAACTTAAAACAGGCACGACATTGCCTCGAGGAGGAGTTGAAGACTCAGCGCGAGCAGCACGTCAAGGTTACTAAGGAGATGGAGAACGAGCACTGCACTGCGCTGGACGAAGCGGCCAAGTGTGAGGCCGCACTATCAGCGCTGAAGAGAGACCACTCCCAGCTGTTGGACAAGTATAACCACATTGTATACAGACACAGGAACCTGCAGGAAGAGTTTCACGCGGCAGCCCAGGAGAAACGCAGTTTGGAGGACAGGTGCGCTCAGCTCACAAAAGAGTGGGCAACAGCCAGACGAGATCTCGCAGTCTTCGAGGAGCAGCAGGGCGCAGTGGGACAAAAGACCATTATGGAACTGCAAGAGCTGTGGCAAGCAAATCAGCAGTTGCAAGAGCGCTTTCGCCTGCTCAAGGACAAGCACCTCAAGGCTGAAGAAGGGTTGGTACAGGCGCCAAACCAAAAAGTGGAGGCCTCGATGGAACATGTCACCGAGGGCACTGGGGGTACAGCGAGAACTTTGGAGGCACCAGCAAGCCGAGTCGAGATAGAGGAACTCTCCCGGCGGTACGAGTCCCTTTTGAAACAGTCTCGCGCCGAGGAGAACAAGTGGAACTAGGACAAGCAGCAGCAGAAACACATCGAGGACTTACAGGCGCAACCGGTACCACACCAAAGAAGCACATGGAACAGCAGAAACGAATACAGCTGCTGAAAACTATTTCCCTACAGTCTCAAACGAAGCTGCTGAAGACTATGTCCATACAGTTCCAAATGGCGAATCACTTGAACACATTTCCACGTCTACAAGGTCAACAGGATAACCAAAAAAAAACGAAGTCGACGCGTTGTGGTGAAGCCGCTATGATACAGAGACTGACAAGTGCCGCGATCGCACTGCGTTATCTTCAAGAAAAAAAAAAGAGAAAAGAAGAAGGGGGCATGTTATGATGTCATGGGGCTTTCTGATTTTAGAAGAAGAGGACATCCAGTGAGCACGCTCGCAGGAGGTGGCAAGCGTTGTTGCGTCTGGAACTGAAGAGCATTCGCCATAGCTGCCGCTTTGATCCCGTATGTATTTATTAAACAGTTTATTTAAACCATCCTCCTCAGCTTAACTAGCAACATAACAATCAATATTCCTCGCAGACCGGCCCCCTCGGGGCCGCAATCCCCATAATCCTCGTGTACGCTTTCCTCTTAACCCACTACACGATATGCGAGTAGTAAAATCCCAAACTAAAATCATTTATTCCAGATCAGAATCTGCTGTTAGGAACTATCTTTCACAAAAAAAAATGCTGAAATGCATCAATATTCTGTTCATGACAACTACATCGAGCAATGCAAAGCAAGCAAAGAGACCTATGTAACTTGAAAATTATTTCCAATTCCCAACGGACCAACTACACTACCGTTGTCTGTCGGTTTCACTTCAAGAAAAGAGGGTATCAAAGTGCGCCTCGTTATACCCTCTATATGACTCGTCTGACTCGCCGTTTGTAGTTCCTTCTAATCCGTGAAGTTTGAAGGGAGAAACCTCTAAGAACCAAGAAAAAGTCAAGAAAGCATGTAAAGGTTCCATCAACTCTATATGTTCTAACTTTTGCTAAAATTAAATGTACAAACTTTCGTAACGTTATCAGAAGCCAGTTGATTCTAACGGAACTTTAAAAAAAAAAGAATGCGGTGATTTACAACTTAAGTTATAAAAGAGAAAAGATTGAATTTAAATCCTCCGAAAACTTTCACAGTAACAATGCAAGCCGGAGGGGTGAATGACGGTAGCAAACCAGAGAAAGGAGCTTGTCAAAATCAGGATATTCAAATTTTCCTAACGTTCGCTCAATCAATGCGCCAAAATAAAAGCTTTTCAAAACGATCGGTGGATTATGTATAAAAGGACCATGCCGCTTTTACAACACGCTTTGTTTTCTGTTCACTTCGGTTGTAAAGCCACCGTGCTCAGCTTTCTTCAGCTCATTAGCCAACACCGCTGCAGTAAGTTCTCCATCATTCCAGCCTCCCCCCTTTGTTGCCAACTCCTCTGCTCCCGGACTGACCCAATTAATCAAGCTAATGGCTCCGCTCTGGCCGTCCCGCTTGGCCCCCAGTCTTCGTTCAAACGTTCCTATCGAAAATTCCAGATTCGCACTTTTGTTGCTTTTTTTTTATGTTGTTGTTGTTTTCGCTAACGTACATCAGTTCATCGCCTCCTGTGGGGTGGTTTAATTTTTATCGCCTTTGCTTTCTCTGTTGCCGTTCGTAACTGCTTGTTCTGCCGCGCCGCAGCCGTTGCCTCTGTCGTTCCAAGTCAAAACACGAGAGCAATCCCGGGGTTAGGTAACAGATTGCCGGCAGCGATATCCTGTGCTTTATGACTGCGCCCGATGAGTTCCATCATGGCTTAGGTTAGATAACGGTTTCGTGTACATGTACGTTTTTCTTCTTTTTTGTGTGTGTTTGGCGTGTTTGATATAGACGCGTACTGCCCATGTCATTGGGTTAGGGGCACTGACATGTTGGAAAGGGCGATATAACTGCAGCGTCAACACTTTCGTGGACGCCAGCGTCTTAATGGCTCTGCGGTTTGTATAAACCTACGTTAAGTAAGATGACGTTTTTTTTCATTTTATTTCATTTATTATTCCCTCAGGGCCCGAAGGCATTACAGAGGGGAGTGGGCGGTCGACAGATAAAAATAACATAGTTGAACAAGGCAAAAATACAAAAAAACAACACACACACAGCAAAAACACGCGCTACGCATCATTTGTTAAAAAGTTGGTAATAGCATTTTTAAAATAAACAGTGTTAGTTATTGAGACTATATGTGCGGGAAGGCGATTCCAATCAATGGAGGTTTGGGGTAGAAAAGAAGCATTAAAAATGGATGTGCTACAATGGGGAATCCCTACCTTTAGGTCATGGTCTACACGTGATGATATGTACGATGGTTCTAAAAACAATGCTTGACGGAGAGCGGGGTTAGAGTAATAAATCTTGTGAAATAAACATAGACGAGATATTTTTCTTCGGAGAGAGAGATCAGGTAAGGAGAGGGACGATTTCATGGAAGTTACACTGGCTGTACGATGATAGTTCGAGAGTATGAAACGAGCAGAACGATTCTGAATAGATTCGACAGCTGATGCAAGGGTGATACCGGGGCTCCAGATAGAAGCTGCATATTCCAGTTTAGGACGAACTAGGGTTTTATAGAGGAGAAGTTTTAACGAAAGAGGAGCAAGCGAAAAGTTACGTTTGAGATAGCCCAAAAGCCTATTTGCGTTCTTAGTGACATATTGGACGTGGATATTCCAGGAGAGGTCGTTGGTTATGTGAATGCCGAGATATTTATAGGAGGACACAGAAACTAAAGTAGAATTGTTAATAGAGTAGGAAGGACAAGTGTTGTTATGACGAGATACTCTCATAGATGTACATTTAGTGATGTTAAGCTCCATGAGCGATTCCTTGCACCATTTGCAGATGTTGTTAATATCAACCTGAAGGGCGGAAATGTCAGAGTCGTTAACTATCTCTTTATAAATTACACAATCGTCAGCGAATAAACTAATAGAGGAAGAAACATGCACAGGAAGGTCATTGATATAAATAAGAAATAAGAGTGGTCCGAGTACGGAGCCCTGAGGGACACCGGAGTTAACAGGTGAGGGCGAAGAATTAGTGTCATTAGTTCGAACAAATTGGAAGCGATTCGTTAGGAATGATTTTATCCATGTGAGGACATTGGGATCTACATTAAGGTTACTAAGTTTATCAAGAAGTAGCTGGTGAGAAACCTTATCAAAAGCTTTTCAGAAATCCAGGAATATGCAGTCAGTCGTAGAACCCCCGTCTAGAGTGAGGTGAAGATGATGAGTTAATGTTAGCAGTTGGGTATCACATGAATAAAACTTTCGAAAACCATGTTGAGCTGTGTTGAAAAAAGAGTTGGAGTCAAGAAAATTAACAAGAAGTGAATATATTACGTGTTCAAGAATTTTGCAAGGGATGCTCGTTAGAGAGATCGGGCGGAAATTAATAGGATTATGTTTATCGCCGCCTTTATGAATTGGAATCAGCTTCCCCACTTTCCAGTCACTGGGTAATATTCCTTGTTCGAGAGACTGGGAAAAAAGATAAGATAGAATAATGCTTGAATACGTTTTAGTGTTCTTTAGAAACTTAACAGTTACATTGTCGATGCCGGCTGCCGAAGAGGTTTTAAGATTTTCAATTATGTTAGCAATCTCTTCAGATTCTATAATGACAGGATACATTGGCAAAAAGTTACAAACTGGAGCTTCGGTAAAGTTGGAGGTAACAGAACACGAAAACGCTTTGACAAAAACATCATTTAAAACAAATGAACACTGATCATTTGGTACATCTACTCCGTCGGCCATTCTAAGCGCAACATCGGAGCTTTCAGTGGGGTTAACAACTTTCCAAAATTGACGGGGGTTGTTCATTAGCATAGATGGTAACAGAATATTAAAAAATGAGCTTTTAGCCTCTACAACAGCATTTTTGTACACGCCCGCAGCTAGATGGTACGCTGCCCAATGCTGTACGTCATCCTTCAGCTTGGCAGCACGAAACAAACGCTTCTTTTTATTTGAGAGCCTTTTCAAAGTCACGGTATACCATGGCGATTCAGGTGACGACGTTATGTTGCGAAGAGGTACATGTGCCTTCATCAGTGATACCACCTTATCTTTGAATAAACGCGAGTTGTCTGCGACTGAGCGCTCGGCAAAACAGTGCATATACCGATCTAAAAAGAGACTCATCTCATTGTTAATCACATCAAAGTCCGCTCTAGCATAATCGTGTATTTGCTTTATTTGTTTTGATTTGCGGGAACTGGGAATGTTTAATATAAAATGCAACAAGGAATGATCACTAATACCAAGCATGTAAGTCAATGAAGTAATAAGCTCGGGCGATGTTGTTAATATAAGGTCTAAAACAGAGACAGTTGTAGTTGTAATACGCGTCGGTTGCGTAACGATTTGTGAAAAGCTAAAGTCCAAGCACAAGTTCAAAAACTCACTACTCTCTGAAGAAAAGGGACTGAGGCTAGCACCCATATCTGACCATACTATGGCGGGGTAGTTAAAATCACCCAGCAGCATTATTGGCGTATTGGGAAAACGGATCATGACTCCGTTAATGGCGTCGTGTAGGCTTGTAACAAAAGTGGCACTTTTTGAAGGAGGACGATAACAAACGCCTAAAATATATATATTTTTTTTTTAACTGAAGACAAACCCATAGAACCTCCAGTTCAGAAACAATACTGATTTGAAATGATAATAAGTTTTCCGCCACCGCGACCAATACGCCACCGCCATTTTTTTCGCCTCTGTCATGACGGTAAAAATTGAAACGTTTATGACAGTTGAATATTTCATCGTTACGTATTTTGCTTGACAACCAGGTCTCGGTGAGCGGCATTCCGAAAGTTCTCATGAAAGTTGACGCGGTCCTGTGGCATAAATTCTAATAAAAAACTTTTATTAAAAAAATTACGTGGCTTGAAAACGCTGCCATTGTCCTGGCACCGGTTGGGGCTCGAGTAACTATATAGAGATATTCCTCCAAGTAAAC